GGGCTCTCTTGGGAAGGGTCGGGGCTCTCTTGGGACGTCTTGGAGGCCTTTTGGGCCGTCTTGACGCCGTGTTGGGCGTCTTGGGCCCATCGTTCGGTGATTCGGAGCCCTCTTGGACCGTCTTGGGGGCCTCTTTTGGCTCTCTTTGCGCGCTCCGGGGGGCGTGGAAGGCCGCACCCAGGAGGGAAACCATCTCTGAGTAATAGCTCCCGGGCTTCGGGCGGGGTACTTTTCGCCGGGGGACCCCCAGGGGCCGCCCCGCGCGCGCGAACTAGAATTATCGTTAACCAGTTACCGGAGATCTTAGCACGCCTCTGGCCCGTGGGGCCGGCGAATTTACAAGGAGAAGTGACGGAGGAGGAGGAGGAGGAGGAGGAGGAGGAGGATGAGGAGGATGAGGAGGAGGACACGGAGGAGGAGGAGAGGAGGAGGAGGAGGAGGAGGAGAAGGGGGAGGCGGCGGAGGATCGAGAATGAGGATCGCTGTGGAGTAGGAGGGGACGCAGCAGGATCGAGAAGGACGATCGACCGGGGGGATTGCCGGGGCGGAGAAATTGGACGAGGAGGGGTATGAGGAGGAGGAGGAGGAGGAGGAGGAGGAGGAGGAGGAGGAGGAGGAGGAGGAGGAGGAGGAGGAGGGGGAACGAGGAGGGAGCCGAGGAGGATGGTCAAGGAAGGAGGCGGCGGGTGGCGGGAGATCACCCTGGCAAACGTCTTCTCGTGGGCGTCGTCGTCGTCGTCACCGCCGCCGTCGCCGTCGTTCACCCCTATGGGCGTCTTTTTTTACAGTCGGCGTCGCCGCCGCCGCCGTCGTCGTCGTCTTCGTCATCTTTCACCCTGATGGACGTCTCCTCGTCGTCGCCGCCGCTGCCGTCGTCCTGGTCGTTGCTATTGTTGCTGTCGTTGCCGTTGAACTCTCACTACTGAAGAAGAGTTATTGTTGATCCCCCACCTCTAGTGACCATTCTGTTTTTTCAATTGAGGTGCTTCCCCTGGGGCTCACACACTGTCTACACGGGAAGTCACGGGGCTCAAAAATGGCCCCTGGCGCTGGTTTACAACAACGACGGCTCTCGCCTCATATTTCCTCACGGTTTATTCCCAAATCGCGCTCTCGCGCGGGACTTCCTCACAATTCATGTACGCATCGCGCTGTCGCGTGGGACTTCCTCGCAATTTATTCAGACGATGCGCCCTCGGCGCTCAGGAATCACGCTCTCGCTCTGGCTTTTGCATTCAATGCACGTGGCAGGTAAGGAAGATATACCCCCAAGGGGGTACGATCGAAAACGACGAGGGCGGGTACCGAGGTTTTTGGACATACGTATTGTCTGACACGTCATTAGATAGGAGCGGACAGTCTTGAAACAATTGCTGTTGTTGTTGTTGAACATTATTAATTCTAAAGAATAATTATTGTTGGGCCCCCTGGTGCACGCCCCCCCTGCGCCGCCTAGGCCGCAGCTACATTTTCATCATTTTCGTGAGGAAGCCTCAGGTAAAACGATGTGATCCAGATCCGGTTGTTTTGTTGTAATCCGTTTTCCCTTGCAAAAAACACTATAAAATGACATTTCTTGTTCTAATATAATCAAATTTCAAGAATCCCTTGCAAAAAATAAGGTAAAGTGGACATTCGCGCGCGCAAGACGAAATCCTTCCAAAAGCTTAGTGTTCGGAGCGATTTTAACATAAAAACATCAAAAAACCAATGGTTTTTCAACAAAAAAATGTCAAAATCTCATCCCGCGCGCTCTTGCGGATTCGTAGGAAACCCAACACTTTTTAAACATTTCTGTCAAACGGGCTTTTGCGAGCAACTTTTTCGAACTTCTGCAACAACGGTTGCGCACCTGCCAGGGCCATCATCCCTGTCAAATAATACCATGCGGGACACATTCGTTTTTTCTTCGCGCGCGCACGCCGTCGTCGTCGGCCGCGGGGCCCTGAATAGTAGCCACGGTCGTCCGCATGCCACGAAGTGAAGTGTCCGAACGTCATAGGGCGGGAAGCTGGGTGTGGGTGGTGGCGAAGAGTCGTTTGGAAATTTGGTAGAGCTTGAACCGGCCCCCCCACAAAGTGGGGGTATTGCCCGCCTCCTATGAAAACCCTGGCACTGGTGAGAACGGAGTGTCCCCACGTGCTAGTAATTGTTGTTGTTGTTGTTGTTGAACATTATTAATTCTAAAGAATAATTATTGTTGGGACCCCTGGTGCACGGCCCCCCTGCGCCGCCTAGGCCGCAGCTACATTTTCATCATTTTCGTGAGGAAGCCTCAGGTAATACGATGTGATCAAGATCCGGTTGTTTTGTTGTAATCCGTTTTCCCTTGCAAAAAACACTATAAAATGACATTTCTTGTTCTAATATAATCAAATTTCAAGAATCCCTTGCAAAAAATAAGGTAAAGTGGACATTCGCGCGCGCAAGACGAAATCCTTCCAAAAGCTTAGTGTTCGGAGCGATTTTAACATAAAAACATCAAAAAACCAATGGTTTTTCAACAAAAAATGTCAAAATCTCATCCCGCGCGCTCTTGCGGATTCGTAGGAAACCCAACACTTTTTAAACATTTCTGTCAAACGGGCTTTTGCGAGCAACTTTTTCGAACTTCTGCGACAACGGTTGCGCACCTGCCAGGGCCATCATCCCTGTCAAATAATACCATGCGGGACACATTCGTTTTTTCTTCGCGCGCGCACGCCGTCGTCGTCGGCCGCGGGGCCCTGAATAGTAGCCACGGTCGTCCGCATGCCACGAAGTGAAGTGTCCGAACGTCATAGGGCGGGAAGCTGGGTGTGGGTGGTGGCGAAGAGTCGTTTGGAAATTTGGTAGAGCTTGAACCGGCCCCCCCACAAAGTGGGGGTATTGCCCGCCTCCTATGAAAACCCTGGCACTGGTGAGAACGGAGTGTCCCCACGTGCTAGTAATTGTTGTTGTTGTTGTTGTTGTTGTTGGCTGTTGCTGTTGTTATTGTTGTTGATGTTGTTGTTGTGGTTGTTGTTGTTGCTGCTGCTGTTGCTGTTGCTGTTGCTGTTGCTGCTGCTGCTGCTGCTGTTGTTGTTGTTGTTGTTGTTGTTGAACTCTCGCTATTGAAGAATAATTATTGTTGATCCCCCCACCGGTGACCATTCTATCTTTTCAATTGAAGTGCTTCCCTCGGGGCTCGCACATTGTTTTTTATCAGGGGAAGTCACGGGGCTCAAACTGTGTTGTTGGCCCGCGGTTTTCAACAAACACGGGTCCCGCGGTTTGTATAGAATCGCGCTCTCGCGTGGGACTTCCTCGCAGTTTATTCAGACGATGCGCCCTCGGCGCTCAGGAATCACGCTCTCGCTCTGGCTTTTCTCACGATTTACTTGGGAATCGCTCTATCGTTCGAGACATCCTCGCGATTCATGCAGGACCCACGCTTCAGCAACCCGCCTGCTCGACCTGCTCGCCTGGGCCTGCCTTCCCGACCTGCCCGTCATGGGTCTGCCCACCCGGTCTGCCCGTCTGGTTCTACCACTTGTTTTCTGCTCCTTGCCCCTGTCCTGCTAATTTCTCTCGTGCTCCATTCTTCTCCCTCACCCTTGCACCCGTCTTCTCTTATCTTGTCTTGGGGGCTGCACGAAATTCACGTGGCAGGTAAGGAAGATACACCCCAAGGGCGTACGATCGAAGACGACAAGGGCGGGTACCGAGGGTTCGGGATATACGTATCGATTGGTACGTGAGCAGAGCGGAGCGAACAGTCTCAAAATTATTGTTGTTGTTGTTGTTGTTGTTGTTGCTGCTGTTGTTGTTGTTGTTGTTGTTGTTGTTGTTGTTGTTGTTGTTGTTGTTCTTGTTGTTCTTGTTATTGTCTTCCGTCGTTGTCGTCGTTGTCGTCGTCATGCTTGTCCTGGTCGCCTTCGTCGTCGTCAGCGTCGCCGTCGTCGTCTTCGTCGTCGTCGCCGTCGTCGTCGTCGTCGTCGTCGTCGTCGTCGTCGTCATCGTCTTCTGTTCCTCGGGCTGTGGGGATCCGTGGGCCGGGCTCTCACCCGTGGCGGCAGCAGGCTCTTATCCTCTGCCTTCGCGGGCGATCGTACCCCTCCTTCTCCCTGCCTCTCTGTTTTTTTTGTTATCCCTCTCCTCCTCTCTCTCTCTTTTTTAGTTTTCTCTCTCTCTCTCTCTCTATCTTTTTTCTTCTCGAAGAGTACGGATGACAATAATAGTGGTTACCCTGCGCGCACTCATCACAGTCATACGAAGAGCACGGGTGAGCAGTAGTACCATGACCAGAAACACTGCGTAAACTTGACCTTCTGATGTTTGCGCGAATTTCTCGGATCGGCGCTGGCGGCGCCTTCCTGCGCCAGGGGAAGTGCTCACGTGTGCCCGATTGCCTCGCTCCGCCTCCATCTTGGGAGGAGGAGGAGGAGGAGGAGGAGGAGGAGGAGGAGGAGGAGGAGGAGGAGGAGGAGGAGGAGGCCCTAGACCCTCGACGGGAGCGCTGGGGTAGAGCTGCGGTAGACAACGTGCTTCCTCCCCGCAGGCCCTGGCGGGCCCCCTTGATACAACTGCACAGCCTGTGGATCTGGTGTGGTCTACACCTTAGGCGATGCTTAAGAAAACTTAAGTTTTCGGCCAGAGTCTCGATTATTCTTAACGTTTCAATGTAAATCCTAAGATTTTGAAGGATATATTGGTTTTTATTCAAGTTCTGAGACTAAGAATTTCTTACCCATGATTTCTTAAGCATTTCGCAGGGTGTACACCTTCGGCTGTCCAGCGCCGACCGAAGAAGTCCACGCGGACCTCAGCGTTTCCGTTCATCTCGTTTTTCGTTCCTCTGGCTGCTGCTTCTGTTGCTCCTTTTCCCCCCGGGCCCAGTCAAATCCCCTCCCCTTCCCAAGGGAGCCCCCCCTGGGCTCCATCCTCACAAGTTTGTTCGAGCTGCGTGCAGCCGTGCTCAACAAGATCTCCGAATCGACTCGTCGTCGTCGTCGTCGTCGTCGTCCATCCTCGGTCCGAAGGCGATGGCGGTGCAGAGGATCAAGGAGTTCAGCCTGATGGACGTGGCGGAGCTGCGGGGAGCATTTAATGCGGTCGTCTTCGTCGACGTTGTCTTCGTCGTCGTCGTCGTCGTCGTCGTCGTTGTCGAGGTCGACGTCGTCATCGTCATCGTCGTCGTCGTCGTTGTCGTCGTCGTCGGTGGCGGCGGCGGCGTCATCGTCGTCTTTGCCGTCGTCTTTGTCGTCGTCTTTGTCATCTTCTTTGTCGTAGTCGTCGTCGTCGTCCCCGCCGTCGTCGAGGTCGAGGTCGTCGTGGATGTCGTCGTCGTCGTTGATGTCGTTGTCGTCGTCGTCGTTGCTGTCGTCGTCGTCGCCGTCGTCGTCGTCGTCGTCGTCGTCGTCCTCCATCCTCGTCGTCGTATTTGTTACGGATGCGTCCCGCAGCTAGCCCGACCGCTTGTTCGACCCAATTCGCCGCAGGCTGAACGACAGTTTGTTTGGCCCCCATCGGAGTCATCGATCCTCTCGCGGCTCATTCCTGGTCAAGACATGGAGAGAATACTCTCGGCCCCATTTTGTTGGCATTACCTGTCGATGCTATTATATAACGGCAGCGCTCTCATTTTGTATGCTCCCAAGTTCGCCGCCTGTGAGGTACTGCATTCTGTGCTGTCGGCTCGTTCGCTGAATCTCAGGATGGCGAGCATTTCCAGTATATGCCGCCATGCGAACTTCAGACATGGATGAAGATGAGAGTATCCATCGCAATGCTTCGCAGGTTGAGTTTTGTGTTGCGCTGGGGGAGTATGTGGCACATGATATCACGCTCGCGTCTGTGGAACCTGGTCACCACTAGATCCCCTCGCTGGCATCGTTTCGACCCTTCGCTGCGCGTTTCGTACGACGTGCACTTGGCCACCGCACGTCCGATTTGGATCACCGGGGCTGTCGGCGTGGGCCAAAGGAGCAGCTCAGTAGTATCACCAGCAAGCACTGTTCGGGGATAGCTGTCCAGGGTATGACATTATGGCAGTTTCATCGCGCCTTGTCTCACCACCTACCAGACCACCCCAACCCAACCCGAAGGCCTCAATTTGCCCTTCATTTCCAGTGGGGGGGGGTCGGGGAACGTCTAAAAAACACATGGAACCCGTACCCCCCCCAACCCGAAATTCGGGTCAAATTCGGGTCTTCGGGTTGGGTTGGGGTGGTTTGGTAGGTAGTCATTGTCGCCGATCCCCCGAGACCAAGCTGGAGATTGCCAATACGGCACCGCCACATACCGTGGTCTGCGACCCACGCGCCGAGCAGCCCTCGCCCAGGGCTTCCAGGCATCGTTCTGACCAGCTGGTCTTTAGAATTTCGCTGGGTCGCCAGTGTTTCTCACATGGGGTACAAGCTCAGCCCAATGGCAAGCCAAGTTCGCAGTTTCAAGGTGGGGAGGTCCGGATTTCTTGCGAACGCTGAGCGGTCTGAGACCTTTTCTTCGTTCGGCGTCTTGCAAGACCCTGTAGCCGATGAGACCCAGAGCCTCTGCCCCTCGGCGAATCACATGTCATTCATTCTTTTGTTTATTGCGGCTTGGTCCCTGTTGGCGTTGTTCCCACGAGTGTGTCCCCGAGCTACCGTTTTTTTCCGCACCGTGCGAGTCAGAAAGTGTTCTGAACGTCTTTCCGCAGCGCGACCGCATCCTTTCGGGACGTGTCGTGTCGCGGACACTCCCGCATCGGAAGGAGGGCGCGTTGATGTCCTTGCCGTCGTTGTCGTCGTCGTCATCGTCGTCGTCGTCGTGGTGGTCGTGGTCGTGGTCTTCGCCCCCTGAGATCCGATGTTGCGACAAAAACTGCAACCTCGTCGAAAATTGCGACGGGAGCCCTAGCCCCTATACCTCTGCGGCATTACTTGACGCGGATCGATCTGTCTGGGATTCTGGACCCGAAAACCCCGCGAAAACGCCCGTCGTGAAACGATTGCAACGCCCGGGTCTCAGTGGTCGTGGTGGTGGTGTTTTGTCGACGTCGTCGTCGTCGCCGTCGTCACCGTCGTCACCGTCGTCGTCGTCGTCGTCGTCGTCGTCGTCGTCGTCGTCGTCGTCGTCGTCGTGGTCGTGGTCGTCGTCGTCATCGTCGTCGTCGGCGGCGGCGCCGTCGTCGTCGTCTTTGTCGCCGTCTGTGTCGTCGTCCTTGTCGTCGTCTTTGCCGTGCTCGTAGTTGTCGTTGTCGTTGTCGTCGTCGTCGACGTCGTCGTGGTCGTCGTCGTCATCGTCGTCGTCGTCGGTGTCGCCGTCGCCGAGGTCGAGGTCGAGGTCGAGGTCGAGTTCGAGGTCGAGGTCGACGTCGTCGTCGTCGTCGTCGTCGTCGCCGTCGTCGTGGTCGAGGCCGTCGTCGTCGTTGGACTCGGAGTCGTTCTGCGGTGCCCGCCGGGAGCCTCCCGCCCCAGGAGGCGCTGTGGGGCCTGGCCGCCTGGGGGGCCCCCGCCGTGAAGAGCCCGCTGGTGCCGGAGCTCCTGCGGAGGCTGAGATACCTGCCGTCGCAGGCCCTCGCCTCGCAAGCGGTCGCCCAGTCGTTTTTATTTGTTTTTTGTTTTTTTGTTTTGGGTGTCTTGTTGTTCGTCGAGTCTGTGCAAAATGCGTAGAAGGCTCCGTAGAGCAGCAAATTCGACGGCAGAGCGGTTTCGGGGTAGATCAATTCTGTAGTCGATCCCCTACTCCCTACTCGAGGGATGGTGCCATCGTTTTTCCGCTTGGGGGTCGATGCATCCCGCCTGAGCCATCCCCCCCTGACGTTCCCCCCGGCTGAGGAGATGAAGGTCGGCGGATTACACTGCACCCCCAGACCCCTTTGCGTCGTTTCAATAACAGAGACTGCAGGTTTTCGGGCAGTTCGGGCCTCTGCTCGCTGTCAAGACCTCTGAGGCGGCACGTCGTCCCAGCCATCGGTCGTTGAATGTAGGCACTTTTGGTTACCAGATTGCAGTCTAATTCAGGCGCCTTCCTATCTCAAGTGCCGGGCGGTTTTCCCCCTTCCCTGCTCTAAATGGGGCGGGCGGAACCCCAACCCGCTCTAAACGCCTTCCTGCTTCATTTTTCTGCCCACTTCTTGCGACCGATGGACATCGCTTTTTCGGATGGGGAACAGTCGATGCAACGGGGGGCCACATGCGAACCCTACCCCTGCCTCCCACGATTTCTGAGGGGGAGGGTGGGGTTCACTTCGTTCGGGAGCTCCCGAGCGAAATGAGCCCCACCCTCCCCCTCAGAGATCGGGGGGGGGTAGGGGTAGGGTTCGCATGTGGCCCCCCAACGGTGGTCCTCCCTGGCGCATTTCGTCCTCCTCGGGCCTTCCTGGGGCTCCTCGCCTTCACGGACGGGTCCGCCTCGGAAAACGGGCTGGGATGGACCGTGGGAGGGGCCTGGGGATTCCCACGCGTGGCCGGCCCTCGCCTTATGTCGGGCGGGTCCCCCCTACAGGGGAATTTTCGACGAAAAGTAAAAGATACCCCGAAAGTACACCAAAGAGGGACAACAAATATTCAGCAAATACTCCCCAGACTATTTTTGGATTTTTTTTTTTTTTTTTTTTTTTTTTTTTTTTTTTTATATTTATATAATTTGGGGTTTTTTTTTTTTTCTTTGAAAATCCCCCTGTATCGGGGACAGGCCCGACTTAACTCTCGCCCGTTTCCCTCCCCTGGGGGGGGGGGGGGGGCGGGCGTCGCGGCCGCCGCAACCACCCTGCTGCAGTGTCGACTATCCGTTCGCCAGAGGGACATCTTGCGCGGGCCTGCTGGGGCCCCCCCGACCGCTGAACGCGATGCGACAGCAGCGGCCTGGGAGCCTCGGTTTGGGCCCCCCCCCCTGACCCGAAAGCCGCGCACCAGGGGCCATCCCTGCCCTGGGCCTTTCCGGCGTGCAGCTGGCTGCAGGCCCGAGGGTGGCGGTGGCGGTGCCTCCACGCCCTCCAGGGCGGCGGCAGCTTGGCACCCCGCGCTGCGCCTGTACGCGCGCCCGCGGCGGCCTGAAGTTACTTCGGGGGAGCGCTCGGGGGGGATGTCCAAGAGATCGTTCATTCTTGGGGCCAGCTGGGGGCCTGAGGTGATCCATCACTGGTTCCGGCCAGCAGGAAGGGGGCGGAAGAGGTTCGAGGTTCCGGGTTCGGCCTCCAGGGGCCTTCTTCGGGCCGCGGAACCGTGCAAAGCTGATCCAGGGTGAAAAACTGCACCATATTGACTCTGAGAGGGGTCCGGGAAGGGTCCGGGGACAGATTTTGAGCTGGTTTGCCTTCGTCCCCCCTTTTGATTTTTCCTCGGGGCCGAACCAGCTCAGACCCTCCAGTCGCCACCACATCCTGGCGATAACGGGCGTGACTGGGGGGGGAGGGGGGGGGAGGGGGGCGGTCACGTCACGGTTGGCGCCGGCGCTGTCTGGGAATGCACACAGGCTCATTTGCAGACGGCGCCGCCGCGAGTCGTGATGTGACCAGGTGCAGGACCGGTCACCAGTGTTATCGCGAACAATACAGCATGGGCTCCAAGAGGGGGGTGGTGACCACGGCTGTGTGGGTCTCATGGCTGGTGCCAAGGAACCTCCACGGATTTCGTAGCCTCCCCTTCTTCTTTCAACGCGCTCCCTGGCCCCCTTTGTCGGCGCACATGCTTCGGGTCATGACTTAAAATCCCCCCTCTTTCACCACACCCTCTTGGACGCCCCCGGACCTCACCTACGCTCCCAGCTCCCGCGGCGGCGCCGCGGGCCCCCTTGGTGGATCGGGGGCAACGTAAGGGGGGGGATACGCTCAGGGGGAGACACAGATCTCGAGGATTTTTTTTTGTTATTCGTGGCGTTTGTCCTTCATTTCGACCTGGGGGCCCTTCCTGGGCCCCAGGACCATCAAGCATGGATCCTGGATGCAAAGCTACTTCCAGGGAAAGTTTCTGAAGTTTTCCGAAATCTCGGGGGGACTTTTCGGAGAGTTTTTGGACGTTTTCGGGAGTCTTCCAGGCCAGGGGTGGTTTTGATCAGCTACGCCTCGTCGAGAGCGTTCCGGGGGTGCCGGGATCGTCCCGAACGGCCGCCGAAGGCCCGAGTTAGGACCAGGGAGCGGAAGGGCATGGGCAACGTCAGGGGGGGGTTCACGCTCAGGGGGGGATGCGTCGAGCCCCACTCGCCCACTGATCGCCGACAGGGGCCTGATAGCCCACCCCGCCCAGGAGCGTGCGGGCTCGCTATGGGGCGCCTCTCGCCGATCTCTCGGCGATGTGTCGCCGCTTCCAGGTCGATGTCTCCCCCCCGTTGAGCGGGTGCCCGGGCAGTTTTCCGGCCATGCTGGCCCTGCCTCGGGCCTCTGGCGGCCGTTCGGAACGATCCAGGCAGCCATGGACGCCCCTCGGCGAGGCGCAGCCGCTAGAAGGATCCCCGAGGCTGAAACGCCGCCGAGAATCAGCGAGAGCGCTCGGAAGCCGAGAACCTGGAACCTCGAAACTTCGGTCCCCCCCTACCTCAAGGTCGATGTCCCCCCCCCTGAGCCCGTCCACCCTAGACGTTGCCTCTCAGCGGAGCGGCCGCCTCGCGCAGTAAAACAGGGCTAGGATCGGGACAAATCGCTCCAGAGCGTTCCGGAGCGCTCTCAGAGCGTTCCGGAACGCTCTGGAGCGGCCGCGGCGCCCAATACATCCTCCAAACCCGCCGATTCTCAGAGATTTTGAGTTACCCCGATCGATTTTTGATGGGCCTGTTTTCCACCACCACCACCATAAGCTGGAGGGGGGGAAGGAGAGTGGAGGACGAGGAGGAGGAGGACGAAGAGGAGGAGAGGAGGAGGAGGAGGAGGAGGAGGAGGAGGAGGAGGAGGAGGAGGAGGAGGAGGAGGATCCCCTCCACCTCCAACTTATGGTGGTGGTGGTGGAAAACAGGCCCATCAATTCTGCCCCGATCTTCGCGTCGTTTTACGCAGCGCCTCGGAGGGGGGGGGGCGGTGCTCGCTCCATGCGCGCGTGCGGGCCCGCGGGACACCCCGGCGGTGGCCGCTCGTGGTGCGCATTTGGGCGCCTCGTCGCCCCGCTCCGCTCGGGCCTCGGGGCCCGCACAGATCATTTAAAAACGACGCGAGGATCGGGGCAAAGTTGGATCGGGATAGCTCGAGATCTCTGAGATCAGGAGCGAAAGAAGGACGTACATGTACATGAATCCACGCTGGTTTCGAGAGCACGCATTGCACAAATGTTCGTACAACGCGGCGGGTCTCGCGGATCGAGGGGCCGTGTTCATGTACATAGCTGGGCGCGTACGTCCTTTGTGGGCTCCCTAAAAACGACGCGAAGATCGGGACAAAGTTGGATCGGGATAGCTCGAGATCTCTGAGAGTCGGCGGGTTTGGAGGACGTCTTGGGCGCCGCGGCCGCTCTGAGAGCGCTCCGGGACGCTCTGAGAGCGCTCCCGGAACGCTCTGGAGCGACTTGTCCCGATCCTGGCCCTGTTTTAGGATCGGATCGAGGAGTGCCGCAGAAGGGGGGGGGGTCTGGGGCTCCAGCCGTGGTCTTCGACGATGCTGTTTTTTTTTTCGCCTCGTCGGGCCTTAGGGGAGGGTGCCGAGCGATGGGCGGACTATCGCCTTGTCGCAGGCTCGTGCTTCTTGTCTTGCGGGATCGACTACAGAATTGATTTGCCCCAGAACTGACTTTTCTTGTCGAACCCACGGGCAATTCGAAGACCTTTCGCAGATCTACGAATGGTTGGCGTTTTTTTGTTGAAGAGTCGACGTGAACATCAATTTTGGGGTACATCAATTCTGTAGCCGATCCCCCAGACGAAGTCCGCCGGGTGGGGGGGGGTGACGGCGCGACGGCCCCGGCGGACGACACGGCAGCCCCCTGCCTGCGCAGGCTCCTCCTTCTCCTGCGCGCTGTGGCCAGTCGTGCCGTTTCTGCCCGATGCATTTTGGACCCCCCTCTGTCGTGCGCTCGCAAGGGGCGATGGTTCCACCTGAGCCATAGGCCCTCCTCGTCCCTCCGACGGTGACGGCGGGCAATGATGGACGATGCCGGGTGACGACGACGTCGACGTCGATGACCACGACGGACGCTGACGACGGACGACGACGGACGACGGACTACCGACGACGGACGACGGACGACGGAAGACGGACGACGACGACGGACGACGGCATCGAGGACAATGAGACCGCTGCTTCCCCTGCAAAGGCGGACTACGCAGCAGCCACCAAGGGGCTCCCGAAGATCGCCTGCGCGCTCGTCCGGGAGACGCGGCGGGGGTGCCGAGAGAGGGGGGGGCGTCGATCAAGACGAGGCCGCTTGGTGGTAGTGGCGGTGGCGAGAAAGAAGAGGAACTCGGATGAGAAGGAGAAGTGAGGAGGATTAGGAGGAATGACAACCATGAACAAGCAGGAGGGTATTAATGATAACAGGATAATGGAGATGGTGATTCTGCTGCTGATGGTGATGGTGATCCTAATGGTGACGGTGACTGTAATGGTCGTGTTGTCGATGATGCGGATGCTGATGCTGATGCTGATGCTCATGCTGATGCTGATGATGGTGATGATGATGCTCATGCTACTGCTGATGGTGATGATGCTGATGATGATGCTGATGCTGATGATGATGATGACGATGGTGGTGATGATGCTGCTGCTGATGATGATATTGATAGGGATGCGGATGATGAGGAAGAGGATTATGAAGAGGAGCGAGGAGGCAAATGGAGGATCGTGTGGATGAGGAAACAGAAGGAGAACGGAACATGAGGAGAAAGAGAAGGAGGGTGAGGATAATCTATGATTACGATGGTGATGACGATGAGTATGAATATGATGGGGGATGGCGATGTTGATGATGTTGGTGATGCTTACAAGGATGCTGCTGCTGATGATGATGCTGACCATGATGATGATGCTGCTGATGATGACGATGATGATGGCGCCGCTGATGATGATGAAGCTGATGACGATTATGATGAGGCACCGACGACGACGATGCTGATGATGCTGCTGCTGATGATGATGATGATGCTGATGATGTTGATGCTGCTGATGATGCTGATGATCATGATGCTGATACTGATGCGGATGATGCTGCTGCCGATTATGATGCTGATGCTGATTATGATGGTGATGACGGTGGTGGTGGTGGTGAGGCGGAGGAGAAGAGGGGGAGTACGAGGAGGAGGACGAGGAAGGTGATGTCGTGGTGCAGGATGAGAGGACAGCATATGAAACGAGACACTGTGAGGATGGGCGAGGGGGAGCAGCAGCAGGAGCAGGAGCTCGGGTTGGGAGCCAAGGAGGACTGGGAGGTGGAGCAGGACGGGTGTGGGGGGCATGATAACGTTGATACTGCTGCTGAGGATGCTGACGCTGCTGTTGATGATAACAAGCCGAGTGTGACGATGACGCTGATGATGATGATGCTAATGCTGATGCTGATGCTGGTGGTGATGATGATGCTGATGATGCTGATAATGCTGCTGCTGATTCTGACTACGGTGGCAACGCTTGTCATGTTGCAGATCGCCGAGGGCAATCCTCTAGATGGCACTGCTGGTCCTTCGTCATGGAACACGCCCTGCCTCAACTCAACAGAAACGGCACGACCTGGCAAACAGGAGGGTTATGATAATGAGGGCGCTATGGGTGAAGATTGTCATGATGAGGCATGACCAGAAGTGGATGATGTGGATGAGGACGAGGACGAGGATGAGGAGGACGAGGAGGAGGAGGAGGACATGAGGAGGACAGGAGGATGAGTAGGAGGAGTTCTAGTAGTGGCAGGAGGATGATGAGGATGAGGAGGAGGAGGAGGAGGAGGAGTAGGAGGATGAGGAGGAGGAACAGGAGCAGGAGGAGGAGGAGGAGACGAGGAGGACGAGGAGGAGGAGGAGGAGGAGGCGGAGAAGAGGAGGAAATGATACGGATGGAGACGAAACCCGTGTCGAGGAGAAAGAGTTAGCTAGTATCGAAGACGCCTACGGCGAATCACTTGAGTAGGGCTGGGGGGGCAGGTCTGGGGGGTCAGGTCTGCAGAACACCCAAGCGGATTTCAAGGGGCGCAACTAACCTGTTCGGGCAGGCAGAACTTGCTGCACCACACCCGGCGTCAAGCCGAAACTTTGGACATACGCGAATCGTTGGATTTTGCAAATCTTCGTCGGCTTAACCGGCGAGGCGTTTGATCACCCTGACGTCGTTTTTTGGTGGTCCTGCAGAAGAAGGCGCCCTCTGACTCTCAGCCCTGCTCAACTAATCACCGCCGCCCCCCTGCATGAAACGCCTGAGTGGCCAAACGTTTGGGCGAATTTTGTCCAAGCTATTGAACCATGCGTTCCCCCAGCTGTTGTGGAAACTCTTCGGGGAACACGTGGGGAAGGAAGAAGATAATCAGGAGAAGGAGGAAGCAGGAGGAGGAGGCGGAGGAGGAGGACCAGTGTAAACCCAAGAGTCATCAACGATGTTGCAGTCAATTCTCCCTCCAAGCTCCCTGTTCTTAGGCCACTGCAACTGTTCATTTCCATTGATGGAACTGCCGCGTTGAAAAACACCCGTTTGAAGACCTTGAATCATGCCAAAACATTGTTCTCGGGATTCCAACGCCACGGATCAAACTGACCACTGCTTCTTGACGATCCTGAATCGTGCCAGAACGCCAAGGCAAGGCGAGAGCCGCATTTTGAAAACGACCCTCCATATGTGAAGCTGTTGCCACTTTTTAAGTTTCAGAGTCATAAGTGGTGAGGAAGTCTTAGACGAAACGCCCAGCCTGCTCTAAAAACTGGCGTCGGGGTGCGACAGGGAGAAGTTATTTACAAGGAAAAGGAATGGAGGAGGAGGAGGAGGAGGAGGAGGAGGAGGAGGAAGAGGAGGAGGAGGAGGAGGAGCAGGACGAGGAGGCGGAATAGGAGGCCTCTTGGGAGCCACTTGAGGCACTCTTGGGGCCTCCTGGGAGCGTCAAGGAGAAGGAAGTGGAGGGATGGAGGGAGGGAGGGTGAGAGGGATGGAGGTTGGGGTTGGAAGGAGGGAGGAGAAGGAGCAGGAGGAGTAGGAGGAGGATGAGGAGGAGGATGAGGAAGAGGAGGGAGGGGGATGAGGGAGGAGGAGCAGGAGGAAGAGGAGAGGGTGGAGGAGGTGGAGGAGGAGGAAGAGGAGGAGGATGAGGAGGAAGACCAGTGTAAACCTAAGAGTCATCAGCGATGTTGGAATAAACCCTCACTCCAAGCTCCCTCTTCATAGGCCCTTACAACGGTTCATTTCCATTGAAGGAACTGCCTCTTTGGAAGACATCCGTTTGAAGACCCTGAAGCATGCCAAGACATTGTTCTCGGGATTCCAATGCCACGGATCAACCTGACTGTTGCGCCTTGACAATCCGGAATCGTGCCAGAACGCCTCACAGCGAATCAACAAATTGTTGCACCCGCATAATCCTGAATCCTTTTAAACATTGTTTCTGGCACGTTGATGATGGAAATCCGCGAAACTCATGCACTTTTTTAAGACGAGTGTGCGCCGCGCTAAGGCGAGAGCAACATTTTGAAAACGACCCGCCCTCAATCCGTGAAGCGCTTGCAATTTTTTAAACGAATGTGCGCCGCGCTAAGGCGAGAGCCACATTTTGAAAACGACCCGCCCTCCATCTGTGAAGCTGTTGCCACTTTTTAAGCTTCAGAATCATAAATTCTGAGGAAGGCTCCGGCGAAACGCCCGAAACTGGCCTCGGGGTGCGACAGGACGAAGTTATGTATAAGGAAAAGGAATGGAAGAGGAGGAGGAAGAGGAGGAGGAGGAGGGGGAGGAGGAGGACGAGGAGGAGGAGGAGGAGTGGGAGGCGGAGAAGGAGGATGAGGAGGAGAATGAGGAGGAGGAGGAGAAGGAGGAGGAGGAGGATCACAAGTGTGGGGGAGCTGGAATACAGCAGCAAAGCAAAGCAGCGGCATCAGCTGGGCATCTGGGATCCCGTCGTGATGGACGAGATTGCCTACCGCCTCATCCGGGACATCGGCCAGCTGAGGCCGCTTCACACTCAGACCTCTGACGCCGTCAGTTTGTTTGTGTGCTTGTTTGGTTGTTTATTTCTTTGTTTGTGTGTATCATGGTTTATGTGATTGTTTGTTTGTTGATGGGATTTTGTACGTGTTCGCGCGCGCGCGTGTGTGTGTGTGGATGTGTGTGTGTGTGTGTGTGCGTGTCTTTGTGTTTGTTCCCTACTAGGCTCTGCCTAGAAGGGTTCTTACTTTATAAGCTTAGAGGGCCGGGCAGTGTAAAACGCCCCAGGCGGTTCCCCCGGCATCCGCCCCGCGGTTCCCCCAGTTACGTTCCCTTAGCTTGGCGTTGTTTATCTCATCTTAGCTTAGCTTATTTCATCTTAGCTTAGCTTCGCTTTATCTGAGCTCAGTTTTATATTAACTTAGCTTACCTTCATCTTAGCTTCGCTGAACTTTAGCATATCATAGCATAGCATAGCATAGCGTAGCATAGCATAGCGCAGCACAACATATCATAGCATAGCCCAGCATAGCATAGCATAGCGCAGCATAGCATAGTATAGCAGAGCATAGCGCAGCACAGCACAGCATAGCACAGCGCAGCATAGCATAGCATAGTATAGCATATCATAGCATATCATAGCATAGCACAGCGCAGCAACTCATAGCATAGCATAGCATAGCATATCATAGCGCAGCTTAACATAGCATAGCATAGCATAGCATAGCTTAGCATAGCACAGCGCAGCATGACATAGCACAGCTTAGCATAGCATATCACATCATAGCACAGCATATCATAGTATAGCATAGCATCGCATAGCATAGCGCAGCATAGCATGGCATAGCATAGCATAGCATAGCAACTAATGCTGCTTTCCTAAGGGGCTCCAACTCCTAGGTAGGGTCGCACTGGGGTAATATACGTGTGTGTGTGTGTGTGTGTGTGTGTCCAGGGGGCGTTCGCGCGCAGCTCGCCGCAAACGTAATTCGTAGTTCTGCAAACGCGGAGGGGACCAGCGATTGGCATATTGAGCGCTGGCCAACGAAGACTCCCATATTCCAATGTGAAAACGTACCTCTGCTGTACAGCGCGAGTGTTTTTGTTGAATCACTCCTGTTGCACAGATCGGCCCCCGTCGGCTTCTCTCACGTCGCCAGCACCAAGTACATGTTTGTCATCTGCAACATCGGATAGTAGAACAATCCTAACAATTTGCTTCATAATGGTCTCAGGGTGACGGATGGTCTCTTGACCTGGCAAGTGTGTGTTTGTATGTGTGTGTGTGTGTGCGTGTGTGCTTGTGCATGTGCTGTGTCGTATAGGTGCACATTCACATCCGTGGCCATATATCTACTTATGCATGCATGTATGTATGTATGCATTCATGTATGCATGCATGCATGCATGCATGCATGCATGCATGTATGTATGTATGTATGTATGCATGCATGCATGCATGCATGTGCACATGCGTGTATGTCCGTCTGTGTCTGTCTGCCTGTCTGTCTGTCTGTCTGTCTGTCTGTCTGTCTGTCTGTCTGTCTGTCTGTTTGTACACACGTCTGCAAGTATGTATTTATGTGTGTCTGGTGTATGTCTGGATTGCGAAGGCCTTACGGCCGCTGCCGCCGACCCTGAGAGCGACGAAGATGAAAACGAGGGGGTGGGCAGGATGGAGGAGGTGGATGAGAGAGGAGGAGGGGGGAGAAGGATGTGGAGGAGAAGCAAGATGAGGAGAAGGACGCAGAGGAGAGCAGGAGGAGGGGGAGCAGAGGGGGGGAGGAGGAGGAGGAGGAGGAGGAGGAGGAGGAGGAGGAGGAGGAGGAGGAGGAGGAGGAGGAGGAGGAGGAGGAGGAGGCGGAGGAGGAGGGGGAGGAGGAGGAGGAGGAGGAGGAGGAGGAGGAGGAGGAGGAGGAGGAGGAGAAGGAGAGGAGGAGCAGGAGGAGCAGGAGGAGGAGGAGGAGGAGGAAGAGGAGGAGGCCAGAGGCTTTCTTTGGACAGCCTGTGGCTCTCCTGAGGCCGTCTTGGGCCGTCCAGGGCTCCTCTTGCGCCGTCTCGAGGTACTCTTGGAGGCCTCCTGGGCAATTTGGGGCTCTCCTGGGCTGTCTTGGGGCAGTTTGGGGGCCCCTTGGGAGCCCCTTGGGGCCTCTGGGGGCTGCTTCTTCGGGGCCTCTTGGGGACCTCTTGGGGCTGAGAGCTCGAAATGTCCGTTCGGGTCCCCCGTCTGGGCACTCTGCTGGAGCCGTCTTGAGGGCCTCGCTTGGGCCGTCTTGGGGCCCTCTTCGGCCGTTAGGGGACCCTCTTGGGGGCCTCTTGGGCCGTCTCGGGGCGATATTGAGGGCCTCTTGGGCCGTCGTGGCGCGTCGGGAAGCGGAAGAGGCAAGAACGCCCAAATATTGCAAACACGCATGTGGACATCCATGATTTTTGCCTCTCGGGGCTCTCGTGAGAAAGCTCCTGGAGGCCTCTTAGGGGCGCTTTGCAGGCCTCTTGGGCCGTCTGGAGGCCGTCAAGGCGTCTTGGACAGATCGTTCGGCGATTCGGGGTTCTCTTGGGCTGTCTTTGGGGCCTCTTGGGGCACTCTTGGCCCGTCTTGGGGCTTTTTTTTGGCTCCAGGACTCCCAGGGGGGGCGTCGTACCTGACCCCCCCCGGGGCGTCTGACCCCCCTCCCCCCCGTGACCCCTCCCCCCTCCCCCCTCCCCCCCCCTCCCCCAGCGGGGGAGGGATCGAAGGGAAGGAGTTTCCCTTCGACTCAATTACGACGTTGCTTATTTTCGCTTTGGCTGGCGCGCTGAGGAGGTCCCTGGGAAAGGGGGGAGCTTCGACGAGCCCAGGGAAAGGGGGGAGGCAGAGAAAGGGGACGAGAGAGACGACGACCAACGAATGACGGAGATGACGACTTGAACGGACAAGCCCCTCACACACGCCGACAGGGTCGGCGGATTTCTGTATGTATGCATGTCTGTATGCATGCATGTAGGTAGGTAGGTGTATAGGTCGGTAGGTAGGTCGGTCGGTAGGTGGGTATGCGTGCATGCATGTATGCATGTGTATATGTATGTGTGCATGTATGTGTTTTTTTATGTATGTATGTATGTATGTATGTATGTATGTATGTATGTATGTATGTATGTATGTATGTATGTATGTATGTATGTATGTATGTATGTAAGTATAAATGCATACTTTAATGTGTGTATGTATGTCTGTATGCATGTGCGTGTATGTATATATACAGGTACGCATGTATGCATGTTTGCATGTACGTATGTTTGCATGTCTGTCTATATGCATATGTGCATGTCTATATGTATTGATCTATACATACGTACGTGTGAACCTTTGTCTGCGATTTCGCGGCTTTACCCCCGATCTGGGCATCTGGGGGTCGTTCTCGGGCGCGTGGGCCACCAAGAGAAGACCTGTTGCGGAACGCCGATCCCAAAGATGGGGGGGCGAGAGCTCTGGGGCCCCCCGGTGGAACACATCACGGCGTCGAAGCGTCGGAGGTCTGGGTGCTTCTCCTCCCCGTCTTCTAGGAATGTGTGTTTGTGTAAGTGCGTGTGTGTGTGAGTGAGTGCTCGAGTGAGTGCGTGAGTCAGTGAGTGAGTGAGTGAGTAAGCGATCCGATGACCCAACCGTATCCAGCGCTTGTGCCATGCTTGAACTTGTCTAGCACCGCGGAGAAATAGACGCCCTGGACGATTCAAAACCAAGAGTGTCACCGCATGGCACGCTCCTACGTGCTCGCGTATGACAACCCACTGCGCTACGTGGTGGTGAAGAGCACGGCACCTGGCGGTTCGAGGGATCATACAATATGAATTATGATGGAGAGGGGACGGAAGGGGAGGTGAGCGGAGGAGGAAGAGGAAGAGGAGGATGAGGAGGAGGAAAACCGTTTTTGGATTGTCTTGCTAGCCAAGAGAGGCAGTCGGAACGCGCACCCGATGCGACGCGCAACCACCCCGCACTCGGAGTCGAAGTCCTGAATACGACATGGCCCTGACACGCCCGATCGGTGCGCATCCCTCGTGACGATCCGAGAATCCTACTTCGACCGAGGGCTGGCCTGCCCCCAACAGCCGAAGGCGACCTCTAGCTGGGCACTGGATCCCCAAACTCGACATGCCCCCCCCGGCCCCCGATACAGGTTTCACAAAATTCGCCCCTAATACATTCCGTCTACACCTTAGGCGATGCTTAAGAAAACCTAAGTTTTCGGCCAGAGTCTTGATTATTCTTAACGTTTCAATGTAAACCTTAAGATATTAATAGAAATGTTGGGTTTGTATTCAAGGTCTGAGACTATGAATTTCTTAACCCATGATTTCTTTAGCATTTCGCAGGGTGTACTCCCCGGTCCCCCGCGCCGTGCGGCTGGGGTTGGCGCCGCGCGCGAGCGGCACAGGTGCCGCCCCTGGGCCAGGAACGCTCGGGCCTGCGCGACCTTGCTCGGCCGCACTGCGGGAGTACTGCGGGGCGGGACTGCGCTCAAGGCACCCTAAGCGACATCGTCTGCGTCTCAGGGTGGCCCCGCCACGTCGGCGAATCGATGCACAACAGCTTCTGCCATCGGCGCCTGGGAGCTCCCATCGCTCCCACCTGCCCTTCGGCCTGCCCAGCAGAGAAGAAGAGGATGAGCAGAAGGAGGAGGGAAGAGGAAGGAGGGGGAGGAGGGGGAGAAGGAGGAGGAGGAGGAGGAAGAGGAGGAGGAGGAGGAGGAGGAGGAGAAGGATGAGGAGGAAGATGAGGAGGAGGAGGAGGAAGAGGAGGAGGAGGAGGAGGAGGAGGAGGAGGAGGAGGAGGTATGGGGGAGAAGGAGGTCGCCTGTCTCGTCGCCGTCCTCGTCGCCAGGCTCTGGAGCCTCGCCGCCACGTACTGGGCCTGGACGCGGCCGTGCTCCGAGCCCCGGAGGCCGACCAGGACTTCCGAGCGCTGCGATAGGCCGCTTGCGCCCGCTGCTTTCCATGGGGCTCTCATGTCTGAGGGGTCGTGACGGCTGGTCCCCCCTCGGGTGCCCACTGTGTATTTGTTCAGGGCAAGTGCCCCCCCAGGGCTCGCACGTGTTTTTTTTCCACATCAGGGAAGGTCTTGCAGCTCAAACGGTGCCTCTGGCCCCCGATGTATGGCAACAATGGCTTCCGCCTGATACTTGGTCCCAATTACTACAGGAATCGCTCTTTCGTTCGAGACCTCTGCAATTTGAGCAGGAATCGCGCTCATGCGTGGGACGTCCCTTGCAATTTATTCGAACGCCGCGTCCTCGACGTCTAGGAATCGCGCTCTCGCAAGAGATTTCCTCGCAATTTTCCCGTCCGGCTGACCCGCCCGTTCGGGTCCGCTCGCCCGACCCGCCCGTTAGGGTCCGTCCGCCCGACCCGCCGTTAGGGGTCCGCCCGCCCGACCTGCCCGTTAGGGTCCGCCTGCCAATCCTCCTGTTTCTTTTTCCGTCCCCTTTTGCTGCCCTTTTGATACGCGGGAGCGAAGAGCGAACAGTCCTAAAACCAGTAGTGCTGAACCTTCGCTTCAAAATGTGAAGAGTAACTTTTTGGAGCCCCCTTCAGTGACATAGGCGTTTTTCGATTAGTGCCCCTCGCGGGGCTCGCAGTTTTCTGGCTCGGGAAAGCCTTGGGTCTCCAAACAGTGAAAACGAGTTGCCTTCCGTCCTTCTAGCTGTGCGAAAACATGCGAAGAAGACGTGTCGTACAGTTCAAGAAAGAGTTCAGCAAGAGCACAGTTTCGAAATGGAGCAGTCCTCCATCAGTGTAGCTATGGCACACCGTCTATTTCTGGTCGTAGAACTTGAGGACCAAGTGAGAGCTCCGTTTTGAAACGGAGCCGCCTTCCACCGGTGCTGCTGTTGTACACTGAACGAATGCACCAGCGCTGAGGCGGGGAACACATTTTGAAAGCGACTCCTGTCTAGGTGTTGAAGATGCTAAGCTGCTGGGCTTTGCATTCTGAGCGAGTTTCACGCGGACCGCCCGGCCCCTCCTGCCGACGCGTCGGGTGGTGCGGTTACGCAGGGGTCAAGGAAGAAGGATATACGAGGAGGAGAGAGGGCAGGCGTAGGATGAGCAGGGATGTTTAGGCTGCTGACGGTGGTGCTGCTGGTGATGATGGTTATGATCTCGGGAATGCTCGGAGGTTGTCCGAGCCTCGAGCACCTGTGCAAAAAGACAGGCGTGTGCAGTGATCAATGCGCTCGGGCCTGCCCGTGCTTTCGGGTGTCCCCGTGACCTTCCCGGCCCGGGCCACGCAGCTTGCCCTCTCAGCTCGATGGTGCAGTGTGGCCCCTCGGGTTCCCCACGAGCGAGGCGCCGTGAAGCGGCAGCGGGCCTCCCCCCGTCGCTCGTGGCGCACGATCCCGTTGTGGGCACTCGGGGCAGTTGTTCCAACGGTCTCTCGCAATTTTGGCTATGTTAGGCCCTGCTCAGCTTCCGATCTGGATTACGCACCCCCGATCTGGTTTACGCCTCCCCCCCCCCCCCCCCACCTATCCTTTCCGTCAGGGAGGGGGAAAAGGGGGAGAGGGGATCGACTCAATTATGACTTTCTTTTCCTTGCTCCTCGATTTCAGTGGGACTGGCGACGACGACGACAACGACGACGAGGGCAAGGTCTCTCGCACACGGCGAAGGGTTGGCGGATTCTCATTTCCATAACGGTGAGGGGGATAACCGCATGCCGATGAGAATAAAGTACCCCCCCCCTTAAGTCGTTAGAGTTGTTTATCGTCGACCAATAAGAGTTTGGTCGGGGGCGCGGGGGCGCGGAGGCCGAACTTCATTATCACGGGAAAGTTCGCCATCGAAGTTACTTCCTTCTTATGTTGAGATAACAACATCAAGCGAAGCGAACACGTTGTTTCAGGATGTCTCAAGCGAAACCAATGTCCTTCTGTCTCTTTGTAGTTCTTTCTGTCTCTCTTTCTTTCTTTCTCTGTCTCTCTTTCTCTCTCTCTCTCTCTGTCTCTCTATCTCTTTCTCCTTCCTGGCCTCTCTGTGTCTCTCTCTCTTTCTGTCTCTCTATCTCTTTCTCCTCCTCCTCCCCCTGGCGCCCTGAACTTGTTTATCGCTGGGGTTGATAATCCAGGGACAACGAGGCACGTGAGCTACCTACCCTACACGAGCACTTAAAACAATTAATTTTCATAAAGCGCTTGTAAATAAAATTTAATACATTTGAATCTTCAGATTTTTTGTTGTATCCTCCTTTCCTCTTCTCTTTATCCTTTTCATTTATTATTCTACTTTTCTTTTTAAATATATCTTCTCTCTTTAAGTCCTTCCTTTCTTTTTCTTTATGATGTATCTCTCTTTCTCTCTCTCTCTCTTTCTCTCTCTCTCTCTCTCTCCATGCCCCCCCCCCTCTGAACTTTTTTTATCACTGGGGTTGATTATCCATGGAAAATGAAGCACATGAGCTACCTACACGAGCACTTAAACATTTTAATTTTCATAAAGCGTTTGTAAATAAAATCTAATACATTTGAACTTGAGATTTTTCCTTCTCTTTCTCCTCCTCCTCTGTTTTCTTTTCTTTTTGTTTTTTCCTTTTTCTTTTTCGTTTATTATTGTTTCTTTTTATTTTTGTTTTTGTATATCGCTTTCTCCATTCCTCCGCCCGCCTGAACTTTATTATCGCCGCGGTTGATTATCCAGGGACGCCGAGGCGGATGAGCTATTCCGAGGATGTCTCAAGCGAAACAAGCATATACTCGAGGATGTCTCAAGCGAAACAAGCATATACTGAAGGATGTCTCAAGCGAAACGATACGCTTCTTAAGCGAAATAAGCAATAGTTCGACGATGTCTCAAGCGAAATAAGCAATAGTTTGTGGATGCCTCAAGCGAAACAAGGGATTTGTCGAGGATGTCTCCAGCGAGATAAGCCATTGTTGAGGATATTTCTATGAAGACTAAACGCCAATGATGTCTCACAACGTGCTCGGCTTGGTCTCCTCTTGATCATCTCTTACTTCGAGATTATGCTGAGGTCTGGTGGGCTACTTTGATTATCTCCCCCTGAACCCCGAACTTTATTATCCCCTAGTGTTTATTCTCGAAGGTATTCGGTTACCCGTGGAGATTCTTAAACTCCCTCCCTCCCCGCGGCCTCCTCGTCGGGGAGGAGGAGGAAAGGATAACAAAGAGACGAATGATGAGGAGACAGAGAGGCTTTGCAGGAGGAGCAGATGGGAGGATGATGATCATGCTGCTGCTGATGATGATGATGACGATGATGATGATGATGATGCTGATTCTGATGATGATGACGACGATGAGGACGATGCGGATGATGATGATGATTATGTTGCCGCTGGTGATGATGACGAAATTGATGCTGATGATGGCGACAACGACGAGCACCACCATGATGATGCTGATGCGTATGCTGCTGCTGGTGATGATTATGATAGTGAAAATGACAACAGTTACGGTGACATTGATGACGCTGCCGATGTACATGATGACCACGATGACGATTGCGACGACGATGACACTTACGATGATGATGACGACGATGACGGTAATACTGATGACGAAGTTGACGATACTGCCGATGTTGAGTAAGACGATGACGTTGACGATGATGATAACGACGATGGGACGACGACGACGATTGCGATGACGATGACGACCGACTGCGGCGGCGTCGACGACGACAATGATGATGATGACGATGATGATGAGGATACTGATGGCGATGACGACGATGACGGTGATGCTGATGCTGATGATGATGCTGCTGATGAAGATGATGATGATGATGATGATGATGATGATGGAGATGGTGCTGCTGCTGATGGTGATGATGGTGATGATGGTGATGATGACGATGATGATAATGAGCATGATGATGACGATGACGATGACGATGACGATGCCGATGATGGTGATGATGATGGATGGTATGCTGATTCTGATGATGGTCATGCTGATGAGGCTGAGGAGGAGGAGGATTGTGATGGTGATGGTGATGATACTGATGATGATGACGAAGAAGATGATGGCGAAGACGATCGCGATGACGATGACGACGATTGCGATGATAATGATGATGATGACAATGCTGCTGCTGCTGCTGCTGCTGATGATGATGATGATGATGATGATACTGATGCTGACGATGATGATGCTGATTGTGATGATGATGCGGCTGTTGCTGATGATGCTGCTGGTGCTGATGATGATTATGATGATGACGACGGTGATTACGATACTAATGCTGATGCTTATGATGATGCTGCGTGTTGGTGTGCATGATGGTGACAACGATGATTAGAATGATGGTGATGAGGATGATGATGATGATGATGATGATGATGATGGCCATGATGATGATGATGATGATGATGATGATGATGATGATGATGATGATGATGATGATGCTGATGATGATGATGATGATGCTGATGATGATGATGATGATGATGATGATGCTGATGCTGATGATGATGCTGCTGCTGATACTGATGATGATGACTCTGCTGATGACGATCATGATGAGTCTGATGATAGTGATGGCGACGGTGATTCTGATGATGCTGCTGATGCTGATGCTGATGCTGCTGATGATGCTGATGATGATCATGCTGCTGCTGATGATGATGATGATGATTATTATGATGATTATGATGATGACGATGCTGCTGATACTCATGATGCTGCTGATGATGCTGATGATTCTGTTGCTGCTGATGATGATGGTGATGCTGATGCTGATGCTGATGCTGACGATGCTGATGCTGCTGATGATGGTGGTGGTGGTGATGATTATGATGACGATGCTGGTGGTGTTAATGATGGTGGCGGTGATGATGCCGATGATGACGATTCTTATTTTCAGTATCACTTCGATTATCCTTATTATCACTGCTTTGGGGATGCTGCTGATGATGATGATTATGATGCTGGTGCTGATTATGATGATGATGACGATGATGATGATGATGATGATGATGGTGATGATGATGATGATGATGATGATGATGACCATGATCATGATGATGATGGTGGTAGTGGTTGTCATGGTGGTGATGTGGCCGCCGACACGACGATGATGCATGATGAGGAAGCGATGAGCTGGATGAGGTTGGTCGGATTCGAAAAGCGGCGGCCACCAGTCGATCTCGCGAGTACGCCGCGCACAACTTCATGCGCGTGCTGGAGGAGCAGGCACGCTCGCGCGGGCGACCCAGGGGGGGGGGGGGGAGGGGGAGGGGGAGGGGGAGGGGGAGGGGGGAGGGGAGGGGGAGGGGGAGGGGAGGAGGAGGAGGGGAGGAGGAGGAGGAGGAGGAGGAGGAGGAGGAGGAGGAGGAGAGGAGGAGGAGGAGGAGGAGGAGGAGGAGGAGGAGAGGAGAGAGGAGGAGGAGGAAGAGGAGGAGGAGGAGGAGGAGGAGGAGGAGGGAGGAGGAGCAGGGTGAGGAGGGGGAGGAGGAGAAGGAGGGGTAGGAGGAGGGCCTAATACCCTTCGGTGATGGCACCACCCTAGGCACTGCCACACAACAAGTGCAGGCCTGCTGACTTCCGTTCACTCTGCTCGGTATTTTCCCTTGTGTTGTTACCTCAGATTGTGTTATGGTTGTGTGCTCCTCTTTTCTTCTCACTGGCAGCCAGCTTAGTTACTCTATGTCGTCGCGGGCCCCTCAGCTTGTGCCAATTGTCTTTGGATCTCCTCATTTTCGGAAATCTTTGCTGCCATAGTTCGCTGCCGCTCTGCGGAGTCATGTTTTTTCTTGCCCGAGGAACGCTACGCTCTTAATCTTATCTTTTGCCCCCTGCAAATAACGAGGAATACGAGGGGGAATCTAAAGACGAGGAGGAGGAGGAGGAGGAGGAGGAGGAGGAGGAGGAGGAGGAGGAGGAGGAGGAGGAGGAGAGAGGAGGAGGAGGCCTTGCCCATTTTCGCTCCTCGCCTCGAGGGGCCCCCGTCTGGTCCCCAGGTGGAGATGCGAGGCGTCACGCCGGAGGACATCGAGAGGACCTTTTTTTTTTTTTTTTTTTTTTTTTCTCCTTCTCTCCGCCGCCCAACTCTGGAGAATGGAGGAGGCGAGTCGAGGGTCGATGATCGAGGTTTCGGGATGCTTTGAGGCCTCTGGGGGCCTCCCGTCGGATGGCCTCTGGTATACCTCCTTGGGATCTCGGAGGCATCCAGAGACCTCCCAGGACCACTGGAGATTTCCAGGGACGTCTGAAGACCTCTGTGGAGTCGTCGGTCGAGGATTGTTGCTTTCCACAGCTTGCCCCGCGTCCACGCTCTCGACGGAGAATGCTCCCATCCTCCACGCTTGCCGGCACTCTCTCGGTCCTTCGCGGGGCTTCTCGGAGGACCTGCCGGGGCGGCCGTGGGAGGCCAAGTCGCACACCAACGTGTGAGGCCGCTGCCCTCTGTGGTCGTCGCTTTCCACGGTCAGCGCGCCCGCCCTCTCGACGGCACGGGCTCCCACCCCAGACGGGTGTCACTCGCACTCGCTCGCTCTCGCGCGCGGGGCGCGCGGCGGAGTCTCGGCTCCACGTGGTCTTCTCGCAGAGCACGGTTGCACTGCAGAAGAGGATGTAACATCAACCCATGCCGACCTGGGTCGGGATGGGTCGAGGATGCAATATCGACCCAGACGGTGTCGTCATTGCTTAGGCCCCTGGTTGGGCTTCTCAGAGCGCCCGGCGGGACGGCCGTGGGGAGGCCAAGCCACGCAGCAGCGCTGGGAGAGGCCCCCTCGGGGCAGGCGCCCGCGGGACGGTCGGGCCTCTCAGGTGCGACGTGGCCGCCCCTTCGCTGCACGCTTGCCCACCTCGACGCTCGCGGCGGAAGCCGGCCACGCGCAGATCAGGAGGAGAAAAAACACACAGACACAATTAATCGTCGATTCCCCAGAAAATATGGGAAAATATGGGAAGTGGGGGGAAGACAGAAATCCAATACATATGGGAAAATATGGGGAATATTTTTATTTGTGTCTATTTATTTGTGTGTCCCAGGGCCCCTTCAGCAGAGGGGGGTGGGGGGAGGGGGGAGGCTTTCCTCAGAAGCACCCCTCTGCTTCTCAGAAGGCGCGGGCCTCGTCCGTAGAGGTAAGGCCGGCGCCTGCCAGGGAGCATCCCGTTTCTGAGAAGCCCGCCGTCCTCCCCCCCCCACCCCCTTTTTGAGGCGCTGCTAAGCAAGTGCTCCCGCCCTCGACGCCGTCGTCACTTCTGAAATCCACCGCCACCAGCGGGGCGCCTCGCGCCGCAGGTGCGGCTCCCTCTCTGGCCTCCCCGGGGGCTCCTGGTGCCTCCAAGGGTCGGGTGTTGAACCGAAAGTGCCCCTGGCCCAAGATGTCCTCCTCCGCCTCCTCCTCCTCCTCCTCCTCCTCCTCCTCCTCCTCCTCCTCCCCAGGATTCCCGGGGAGGCCCAGGTGACCTCCAGAGCACCCCTCGCGAGGCCCATAGGGCCCCCCAGGGGGCCCATGGGGCCCCCCATGGGGCTCCGAAACGGCGCGAAAGACTGGGGACAACCCGAGCCAGGACCGTTCCTCGCAGCACTCCAAGAGGTCTTGGTGGCTCCTGGAGCGTCCTGGGGCGCCCCGCGGGCTCCTGGGGCCTCATGGTGCCTCGTGGTGCCTGCGCGGGCGATTCCTCCATGGCTGGATCGGCGGGAGGCCCATACAGCGGGGAGCAGGGAGCAGGAGGATGAGGATGAGGATGAGGATGAGAACGAGGACGTGGATGAAGATGAGGATGAGGACGAGGACGACGACGATGCTGCTGCTGATGCTGCTGCTGCTGATGCTGTTGCTGATGATGGTGATGATGCTGATGCTGACGCTGATGCTGATGATGATGGCCATGATGCTGCTGCTGATGATGATGCTGCTGATGATGATGCTATTGCTGACGATGATACGGATGCTGATGCTGCTGATGATGCTGCTGATGATGCTGATGATGCTGCTGCTGATGTTGATGGTGATGCGGACGATGATGCTGATGGTGATGATGATGATGAGGACGAGGACGATGATGATGATGCTGCTGCTGCCGATGATGATGATGCTGCTGATGATGGTGCTGGTGATGCTGCTGATGATGATGGTTGTGGTGGTGATGCTGACGATGGTGGTGATGATGCTGCTGATGATGCTGATGCTGATGCTGATGCTGATGATGATGATGATGATTATGATGATGATGGTGGTGATGATGATGATGATTCTGGTAGTGATGCTGATGCTTCTGCTGCTGCTGCTGATGATGATGATGAGGAGGATGCTGCTGCTTATGGTGATGATGCTGATGATGCTGATGATGAGGAAGAGGACGAGAAGGAGGAGGAGGAGGAGGAGGAGGAGGATGAGAACAGCAGTAGCTGCAGCAGCTGCAGCAGTTGCAGCAGCTGTAGTAGCAGTAGCAGGAGCAGCAGGAGAAGGAGTAGGAGGAGGAGGAGGAGGAGGACGAGGAGGAGAAGGATGATGACAATGACGATGACGATGACGATGACGATGACGATGACGATGACGATGATGATGATGATGATGATGATGATGATGATGATGATGATGATGATGATGATGATGATGATGATGATGATGATGATGATGATGATGATGATGATGATGATGATGATGATGATGATGATGATGATGATGATGATGATGATGATGATGTGATGATGATGATGATGATGATGATGATGATGATGATGATGCTGATGATGATGATGATGATGATGATGATGATGATGATGATGATGATGATGGATGGTGGTGGTGGTGGTGGTGGTGATGATGATGATGATGAGGAGGGGAGGAGGAGGAGGAGGAGGAGGGAATAGGAATAGGAGGAGGAGGAGGAGGAGGAGGAGGAGGAGGAGGAGGCGGCGGAGGACGAGTAGGAGGATGAGGGGGAGGAGGAGGCGCAGGAGGAGGAGGAGGAGGAGGAGGAGGAGGAGGAGGAGGAGGACCATCGCTTGGCTTGCGGGGAAGGCTAAGGGTTGGCCGACCCGACCCTAACCCGAGGCCTTGTGGCACGAGGCCACCGATCTGTCTGTAGTCTACCGCGCCCCAGCGCGGAGGCAGAGGCTCTATGTCTCCGAGGCTCATTGGGCGGAAGGTGTTGCTGCCGGCACAAAGAGATTGGCGAGACGGTCGGCGGCGCCAGAATTCTGTGGCTTTCTCAAGCATTCCGAATTGAGACCCTTGTTGTGCTCGACATAGGGGCCCCAGTCTCAGCAGGGGGTCATGGTGCTCGAAGTGTCCAGGTATTCAAGCCAAATGAGGTTATGCTTCCGAGGGTTCTGGGCGATCCTGGCCATGGCTTCGCAGTACCCTGGGCATCTCTCACTCGCGCGGGCAATATGCGTCAGACTGGACTTGGCAGAAACTCGACAGACCGTGCATATCGTTCTACGCTGCGAGTCGCGTCCGCAAACTCGGGCGCAGCCGCAAGTGGCGGAGGAGGAGGAGGAGGCGGCGGAGGGGGGACGGCCCCTGAGTCCCAGGCAGGAGGAGCGGACACGGCTCATACTCGGAGGTTGGAACTTGTGGGGGCCTCGAGCCCCATCTTCCCTCGTTTCGGGGCCCAGGCGGGCCACTTGGGGAGGATTTGGGCTAGATGCATTCAGCGTCTACTGAGCAGCTTCGTTTGTCTGGCGTGCGTTTCAAGCTCCTCCGGGCTCGGCTTGGCCAGGTGCTGGGCCGCTAGCTTAGCCGCATTGTCAGCAGCGTGATTGCCGATCGCGTGCTCCTTATCTCCATGATTGGATACTTCAGCTTCTAAATCTCGATGGCCTTCGACTTTACAGAGACACCGAGCTGGAGGGACCATGCACGCGCCTGCCAGCACCTTGAAGCCTCCCATCGCGGACCTGCTCGGGCAGCGAGGAGCAAGGTGAAGGTCCCTAGCGGTTTCATAGTCAGTGTGCACATGCGTGACGAGAGGCGACGCGTGACAAGCAACGAGGATCGCTAGTTGCTCAAACACTCAGGAAGTCTGCTTGAACTGCTGTCCTACTCGGCCTGTGAGGATGGCGAAAGGTTCGCTGTCTCTCAGGGCCACGACCGAGAATCCAGCAGCGTGGTATGCTGGGTGACTTGGATTATCGCAACTGCCGTCGGTGTAAACTTGGCCTCCGAAGGCCTCGTGCATGGACAAATCAGGGTCCTTGCACCAGAATTCTATGTCTTCCATCCCGGGGCCAGGCCTGACTCCCAAAGTAAAATCGGGCTCCCGCTGAAAACCCAAACGCACGGAGGGGTCATCCCTACTGTCTTGCAGAGTGTCCATCTCTGCTGGACTCAAGGCTTCTTCTCGCTCGTTCCTAGACATGGCGCAGTCGAAGATCCTACGTCTGATGTCGTCTGTAGCAGCTCCACAGGGACACTCTGTCTCGACTGGGTAGCCTGCATCTTTTGCGCGGGCCTTCGTCCAGCCTCTCTGCGTGAGAAACGTGAGCAAGCAATCTTTTTCCTGCTTGGATAGCGTCTGGGCTTTGAGAGCAGCAGTGGCAACAGCCAGATCTAATCGAGCCCCAGCCACGCCGAGCTTGATGGCAGCCAGATCTTGTTAGATTGTTGTCCCAATCATTTTTGTTATATTGCTGTTCCAATTCGGATAAGAACTAGAGTGACAAAACAGCACATTTATGGCTATGCATCAACTTACATAGCCTGCTGGACGAACGCAGGCGAATAGCTCGTTGTGGGGTACAGGCTACCATGACGAGCAGCAGAAAACGAGAGGGGAGGCCAGACTCCATCCAATTCGCTTCAGATAGAGAATCTGTCTCTAAGATTCAGAGAGGCCAGACTCCATCCAATTCTGTCTCAGAATCAGGCCCCCTTTTGGGGCCATGATAATGAGAATCATGGCCCCCAAAGGGGCCTCGAACGGCAGCCCACCGCTGGGGCGTGGAGTTAAGGAGGCTCTCTCCGCGGGCCTTGGGGACTCTCGGCGAGGCCTGGGTCGAATCGGCGGCGGCCGTGCACACGAGCATGTGCCAAAGGA